TAATGGACCAGTGTGCTATCTTGTGGAATGGAAATGAGTTATGGTTCCTAGGTAACTGGGGCTTTCAGGGTTTGCTTAGGCTCATGAAGGCCTATTTGAAGTTCGAGGTCATGAGTATAAATGAGACCAATTTATTTATTTGTTTCCTGCAGCCATGTTTATATGAACAGGTGCAAGTATGTAAGAGTCAGGAAGTTGAAAATAGCCAGGGTTGTGGTTTGGCCAAGTACAAAGAGACAAGAGAAGGGTAAGAGCATTGGGTGTATGTAAGGGAGTGATTATGATTGATGATGCAATTTAAGCTAGATAAGGACAAAAGTTAAGATATGAAGGGTGAGAGACAATAAAAAGATGTTAAAACTTCAGAGGGAAGGCAGGGGAGGGGGGGTGGGTGAAATGAAAAGAACTTGTATGCATATATGCAGAGCCCATGGACACATACAATAGGGTGGAGAAGACCTGGGGCAGGTAGTGGGGGGCGAGCTAAAAGGGATCAATCGGGGCGGGGAGATATATGTAATACTTTTAACAATAAATATTTAAATTTTTTTAAAAAAATGTTAGAATAAATGAATAGTAGTTTCTAGTACAGTCAGAGGGTTGTTGGAATTTTCCAGATTCCAAGCTAAAAAGAGAGGAGATGGTTGTCAGAGAGTGGAATGCGTCATACTGAGATGACTGAGAGGCAGTAGTTACTAGGAATGACAAGGATTAAGTTATGATGAGAGTTTGTAGCTGAGTAGGGTAGAAGATAAAGTTATTGGAGGAGAGGAGGTCAAGGCACTGAGTAAAATTTATTAGATGGATCATCTATGTGAACACTGAAGCCAACTGGGAAGTATGACAAGAATAGGGTTTGAGACAGTGGCAGGGAGTTAGGAACTAAAATCTCCAAGGAATGTAGCGGGAGGTGGGGAAGCGGATACTGGCTTGGATGGTGTTTGGACACTGGAGCAGGGAAAGGCAGTTAGTGTGGTAACTTGATGTCATAAAATTTAAATGGGAATGTTTATGGAGGAGGGAGGAAGAATGGTCTGGAAGGACCAATAAGGAACAAACATGTCATCTTTTCTACCTGTAGGCCTAATAGTAGTGGAGTTTGGGCTGCAGCGAAGAGGGCTGCAGGGTTGATTGGTTTTGAAGCAAGAAGTGAAGGGATTGTTCAGAGAAGGCAATTTTGTGTCTTCGAGGGAACAGTGGAAAGATTTAAGGTGTTGAACAAGCTAAGAAATGGGTCGGAAAGGGGGATGTTCAGAGCCTTATGGGTATTAGAGTCCCAAAGACTTTGGTGTTTTGTGGCAACTAAAATCAACAGGCATAAAGGGCATAATGCGATTAATCTTGATGAAAGGCTGATAAAAAAAAAACAACTTTCAGAATTGAAGCTATAATGAAACAAATGTGAAACCTCAATGCCTACTCAAGGACAAGCTTGGAGTTAGATTAGTCACAAGTGAAATGCCTGTTGGCAAAATGTGTGCCTTGTAAAGGGCACAGGGTGGTATATGAAGTTATGAAGAAATCCGAAGACCTTGAAGATAATCAAGGTTTATTATTCATTACCTTTAATTTACATCCTACAGCAATTATTGCTGCTATCTCAAAGACTTTCATTATCATAAGAAAAGCTTTTTCAAAAGCTGGGTGGTAAGTTTCTGCCCTCTTGCCTGAGAGGAGTTTGAACAACTGTAGCACCTTGTTGATATATAGACATTTTACCAGTTATTACATTCAAATAAAAGTAGATACTTGAAACTTGATTTTTTTAAAAATCCCAAAAGATCAAAGCAGTCATAACTGACCAACGTGAATTCAAAATGAAAATGGTGGGGGATGCCAAACTTTAAAAATGGACATAAATGTTTATAGGCACATAAAAAGCTAACAGTTCTCTCTGTGGTTCCTAAAATCAAAAACACATGATGCAGGCAAAAAAAGGGGATAGGAATATTAATTATAGTTTGATTCCTGTCTTGGTCAACCCCCTTATCTTTTCCCTTAGACCTGTGTGTCTCCTCTTATTTATAACTAGGGGCCCGGTGCACGAAATTCGTGCACTGGGTGTGTGTGTGGGGGGGGAGTGTCCCTCAGCCCAGCCTGCCCCCTCTCACATACTGGGAGCCCTCAGGCGTTGACCCCCATCACCCTCCAATCGCAGGATCAGCCTCTTGCCCAGGACTGATGCCTCTGGAGAGGCGTCAGGCCTGGGCAGGGGACCCTCATTTCCCTCCATCACTGGTTCTGCCCCCAAACCAGGCCTGATGCCTCTGGCCCAAGTGTAATGCCTCGGCCAGAGGAGTTGACCCTCATCACCCTCCCATCACCAATCACCAGATCGGCCCCTTGACCAGGCATGAGGCCTCCGGCAGAGGTGTCAGGCCTGGCAGGGGAACCCCAGCTCCCCGCCGTTGCAGGCTCCGCCCCTGCCCAGGCCTAACACCTCTGGCTGAGGCGTCTGGCCCGGGCAGCGGGGACCCGCAGCTGCAGTGGCCCCGTGATCTTGGGCTCCGCTTTAGGCCCACGCAAG